ATAATAACCAGTAATTAACAAATAGCAGTATGCAACAAATATACATCCTCCTAAAAATAACCAACAATTAGAAATAATAATCAGTAATGAAGAACTAGCAGTATGCAACAAGTAACTACTATACCTAATAATTATAACCAGAAACTAATAATAACTAGTAATTAACAACTAGCAATCTTCAATAAATTCCTTCATGCACACTTATATGTATAAATAATAATAATAATAATAATAATAATAATAATGTTTAATTAGCAGTACAATATTTAGCAACAAGGCAGCAAATACCACACACATGAATGTATACACCTAATAAAAATAATGACAAGCAAATAATAATAAAAATAATAAGTATTTAATAACTAGGCAGTATGCAACAAAAACCACACTCAGAGAGACTTATATACCCTAAGAAAAGTAATAACCAACTATAATAATCAGTAATTAACAAGCAAAAAGTTCAGAACACACATATAGATACCTAAAAATAATAACCAGGAAATAATAATAGCAACCTAATAATAATCACCAGCAAATAATAATTATCTTTTGGTTGATCAACACCACGAAATTACTGCCAAAGTTGCTAGCTTTTGTGCAGCAGCAATAGCTTGTTGACGCAAGGTGCTGTCACAGTCTGTGAAGGTTTTACTATTTATTTCAGTATTTTCCATTGTCAGCATATAAATGTTTAATATCGTTTTAACTACCACTTTTCAACAATGGGTTTTAACTTTGCTTTTGAAAATGTTTCTTAATATCTAAATGTCTATGTTCCTATTCCGACGTTTGTTCATTTTGGGTGCTGTTCATATATATGTATGTATATGTATATAAAACCTAATAATAATAATCACCAGCAAATAATAATAGCAACCTAATAATAATCAATAATATCACATAGACTTAAATACTCACTTACTCATAACCAGATAACAGAAAAACCAACAGATAATAATGCATAAATGCATGCCTAATAACCACCAGCAAATAATAATAGTAACCTAATAATAACCACCAGCAAATAATAGCAACTTAATAATAACCACAAGCAAATAATAATAAAAACTTAATAGAAATACCACATACATACACAATAATAATATCACATAGACTTAAATACATACCTAAACATAACCAGATAATAAAATAATCAGCAAATAATAATAATAATAATGACGCATAAATAACATGCCTAATAACCATCACCAAATAGATCGGAGCCCATGGTGGCGCAGTGGGTTAAACCCCTGTGCCAGCAGGACTGAAGACCGACAGGTCGCCGGTTCGAATCCGGGGAGAGGCGGATGAGCTCCCTCTATCAGCTCCAGCTCCTCATGCGGGGACATGAGAGAAGCCTCCCACAAGGATAATAAAAACATCAAATCATCCAGGCATCCCCTGGACAACGTCTTTGCAGACGGCCAATTCTCTCACACCAGAAGCGACTTGCAGTTTCTCAAGTCGCTCCTGACATGACAAAAAAACCCAAAAAACCCAACAAATAATATCAAGCTAATAATAACCAACAGCAAATAATAGCAACTTAATATTAGAAATAACACATACACACATAAATATACAATAACAATATCACATAGGCTTAAATACACACTTAATCATAACCAGATAAAAGAATAATCAGCAGATAATAATAATGTATAAATACATGCCTAATAGCCACCAGCAAATAATAATACCAATTTAATAAAAATAACACATACACACATAAATACATACACCTTAATAATCTTAAGGGTAAAGGTTTTCCCCTGACATTGAGTCCAGTCATGTCCGACTCTGGGGGTTGGTGCTCATCTCCATTTCTAAGCCAGAGAGCCGGTGTTGTCCACAGACACCCCCAAGGTCATGTGGATGGTAAAACTGCATGGAGCACCGTTACCTTCCCACTGGAGCAGTACCTATTGATCTACTTATGTGTGCATGTTTTCGAACTGCGAGGTTGACAGAAGCTGGGGCTAACAGTGGGAGATCACCCCATTCCCCAGATTCGAACCTGCAACTTTTTTATCAGCAAGTTCAGCAGCTCAGCAGTTTAACCCACTGCGCCTATAATAATAGCAATAATAATAGCAACCTAATAACCACCAACAAATAATAATAAAAAGATCACATAAACATATGCAATTATATTGCATATATTACTAATAATATTGCAGAATAGTATAGTACGACATAATATATATACATAATAACATTAATATTATAATGTAGTACAATATAACACTACTAATAATACAATGTAGTAATAAATAATAATATTGTAATATAACAACACTAATATATATATTAAATATAATAAAAAGGTAAAGGTTTCCCCTTGAGATTGCGTCTAGTTGTGTCTGACTCTGGGGAGGCGGTGCTCATCTCCATTTCTAAGAGCCAGCACTGTCCATAGATGCCTCCATGGTCATGTGGCCGGCATGACTGCATGAAGCACCGTTACCTTCCCGCTGGAGCGGTACCTATTGATCTACTCACATTTGCATGTTTTCCAACTGCTAGTTTGGCAGAAACTGGGGCTAACAGCGGAAGCTCACCCCACTCCCCGGATTCGAACCACTGGCCTATTGGTCAGAAAGTTCAGCAGCTCAGTGGTTTAACCCGCTGTGCCACCAGGGGCTCCAATAATTACAATAACTAGCAAATAATAATACCACATACACACCTAAAAATAACAACCTACAAATACTAATAGCAACCGAACAATAATAATGCCATGTACACATATAAATACACAATAATAATACCACATACACACATAAATACACAGGAAAATAATAATAGCAACCTAATAATAACCACCAGCAAATAATAATACCAACTTAATAATAAAAGACCACATACATATATGTAATTATATTTCATTTAATATTGCTAATAATATTGCAGAATAGTAGTATAGTACAATATATTATATATACATATATTTATAACTAGCCATCCTCTGCCACGCGTTGCTGTGGCCCAGTCTGTGTATATGTGTTTTGTGTGTGTATGTATTTGTGAATATGTGTGTTTGCATATAGATATGTGGTTCTGCGCATGCGTTGTAATGTATATTTTGTTTTTTGGCTTTTTAAGTCTCCTTCTGCTGTATTTTTCAATGTTTTTATGAGTGGTGGTCACTCGTTGGCCTGAGACGTGTCTTGTGTCCAAATTTGGTGTCAATTCGTCCAGTGGTTTTTGAGTTATGTTAATCTCACAAACGAACATTACATTTATATTTATATAGATGTATTACAACATAATACTAATAATACAATGTAATAATATATAGTAATATTTTAATATAACAATACTAATATATTAAATATAATACTACTTATAATATATAATAATACTATTTCATCTATCTATATATAAAAAAATGCTCGGTGCATAATGAGTTCCTTAAAAACAAAAGAACCAATGAACGAAATCACACCAAATTTGGCAACAAAACGTCTCTCAACACAAGGAGTGACCATCACTCAAAAACTTACGATTTTGTCATTTGGGAACTGTAGTTGCTGGGATTTATAGTTTACCTACAATCAAAGAGAATTCTGAACTCCATCAGCGATGGAATTGAACCAAACTTGGCACACAGAACTCCCATGACCAACAGAAAATACTGGATGGGTTTGGTGGGCATTGACCTTGAGTTTGGGAGTTGTAGTTCCCCTACATCCAGAGAGCACTGTGGACTCAAACAATGATGGATCTGGACCACACTTGGCATGAATACTCAACATGCCCAAATATGAACACAGATGGAGTTTGGGGAAAATAGACCTTGACATTTAGGAGTTGTAGTCACTGGAATTCACAGTTCACCTACAATCAAAGAGCATTCTGAACCCCATCAACGACAGAATTGGGGCAAACTTCCCATACAGAACCCCCATGACCAACAGAAAATACTTAAGGCCATCCAATCCAACTCCCTTCACCAGGGCAAGAAAACATAATGAAAGCCCTCCTGACAAAGAGCCATCCAGCCATAGATAGATATAGTTAGACAGACAGACAGATAGATAGATATTATTCACACACAGAGAGATATACTATCATAGATTTGAAAGGGACCCCTAAAGAAGGATAATTATATGTCGCATGTTCCAGAGTAGCAAACCAGACAATCTCCATATCAACACTGACAAAGAAACAGCAAGGAATACTGTTTACCCACGAGCATAGACATTACATAGATTAGAAACCAACACTTTCTCATTACTTTATTTTCCAGATCAACAGACTGGGCCACAGCAACGTGTGGCAGGGGGCAGCTAGTTATTGTATATTTGTGTAAGTTGTAATGTTTTTAATCGTGAGCTGCTGAGTCTACGTATGGAGAGAAAAAACGGGATATAAATAAATGCACACACAAATACACAATAATGATGACACATAGACTTAAATACACAATCATAACCAAATAATAAAATAACCAGCAAACATTGATAATAATGCATAAACGCATGCCTAACAACCACCAGCAAAGAATAATACCAACTTAATAATAAAAAGACCACATACACACAGATACACAATAATTGTACCACGGACATAAATCCACACTTACTCATAACCAGATAGTAGAATAACCAGGAAATAATAATAATAAATGCATGTCTAATAACCACCAGCAACTAATAATAATAGCAACCTAATAATCAATAAGAATATCACATAGACATAAATACAGACTTACACATAACCAGATAATAGAATTACCAGCAGATAATAAAAATGCATAAATACATGCCTAATAGCCACCAGCGACAAATAATAATAATAGTATCAACAATAATCAATAATAATATCACATAGATTTAAAAAGACCCTGACTCATAACCAGATAATAGAATAACTAGAAGATCATAATAATACTAATGTATACATGCATGCCTAATAACCACCATAATAACACTAATAATGCTAGGCCTCCAGTGCAGGCTCAAGCCGGGGGCTTTCCTAGCGCCGTGGTCACCCACCTCCGGGGGTCTCCTTGGGCGGTCCCCACCCTCCGGCCTCGGAGCTGAAAGCTCCAGCTCCGGCCTCGGCCCCCCCTGCGCTGCTGGCCTCGCCCGAGGCCTCGGGCTCCATGGCCGGCGGCGGGAGGAGAGGAGGGCGCGGGCCCGGCAGGGGCTCCGCTCCGTCCCCTCACGACCTGCCGCTGCCTCGCCTGAGGAGAACTGAGGGGGAGGCGGCAGGGCGCATGTGCGGGATGTGAGGCGGAAGAGCGCATGCGTGGGCTGGGACCACTCAGCGGCTGCCGCAGCTCGAGCCTCTCCACGGCTACAGCGGCTTCCGGTTTGGCTCTAAGGTCCCTTGGAGCCCGATTTGCGCAGGCGCAGGTTGATCGCTTTGGCAGTCCAGGTTGAAGCGTGCCTTAAACTTTGGAGATACAGTATTTGCCTCTTATCAAAGAATCGGTGCAAGAAAAATAATATTATAATTATATATTTTATATTACATGTAATATTACAATATAATGGTATAGTACAACATAGTAATATATAATACTGATATTGTAGGGTAAAAAGGTAAAGGTAGTCCCCTGACATTAATTCCAGTCATGTCTGACTCTGGGGTGTGGTGCTCATCTCCATTTCTAAGCCGAAGAGTCAGTGTTGTCCGTAGACATCTCCAAGGTCATGTGGCTGGCATGACTGCATGGAGCGCTGTTACCTTCCCGCTGGAGCAGTACCTATTGATCTACTCACATTTGCATGTTTTCGAACTGCTAGGTTGGCAGAAGCTAGGGCTGACAGTGGAAGCTCACGCCGCTCCCCGGAATCAAACCTGCGACCTTTTGATCAACAAGTTCAGCAGCTCAGTGCTTTAACCCACTGCGCCACCGGGGGCTCCTACTGATATTGTGTTGTTGTTCATTCGTTCAGTCGTCTCCGACTCTTCGTGACCTCATGGACCAGCCCACGCCAGAGCTCCCTGTCGGCCGTTACCACCCCCAGCTCCTTCAAGGTCAATATAGTCACTTCAAGGATGCCATCCATCCATCTTGCCCTTGGTCGGCCCCTCTTCCTTTTTCCTTCCATTTTCCCCAGCATAATTGTCTTCTCTAGGCTTTCCTGTCTCCTCATGATGTGGCCAAAGTACTTCAACTTTGTCTGTAGTATCCTTCCCTCCAATGAGCAGTCGGGCTTTATTTCCTGGAGGATGGACTGGTTGGATCTTCTCGCAGTCCAAGGCACTCTCAGAACTTTCCTCCAACACCACAGCTCAAAAGCATCTCTCTTCCTTCGCTCAGCCTCCCTAAGGTCCAGCTCTCACATCCGTAGGTTACTACAGGGAATACCATGGCTTTGACTAGGCGGATCTTTGTTGCCAGTCTGATGTCTCTACTCTTTATGATTTTATCGAGACTGGACATTGCTCTCCTCCCAAGAAGTAAGCGTCTTCTGATTTCCTGGCCACAGTCTGCATCTGCAGTAATCTTTGCACCTAGAAATACAAAGTCTGTCATGGCCTCCACGGTTTCTCCCTCTATTTTCCAGTTGTCAATCATTCTTGTTGCCATAAAAAAAAAAAAAAAACCCCCCCCCCCCCCCCCCCCCCAAACCCCCCCCCCCCACCCCCCCCCCCCATAATCTTGGTTTTTTTGACGTTTAGCTGCAACCCGGCTTTTGCGCTTTCTTCTTCCACCTTGATTAGAAGGCTCCTCAGCTCCTCCTCGCTTTCGGCCATCAGAGTGGTGTCATCTGCATATCTGAGGTTGTTAATGTTTCTTCCAGCAATTTTCACCCCAGCTTTGCATTCATCCAGCCCCGCACATCGCATGATGTGTTCTGCATACAAGTTAAAAAGGTTGGGTGAGAGGATGCAGCCTTCCCGTACGCCTTTCCCAATCTTGAACCAGTCTGTTGTTCCGTGGTCAGTTCTTACTGTTGCTACTTGGTCCTTGTACAGATTCCTCAGGAGAGAGACAAGGTGGCTTGGGATGCCCATCCCACTAAGAACTTGCCACAATTTATTATGATCCACACAGTCAAAGGCTTTAGAATAGTCAATGAAGCAGAAGTAGATGTTTTTCTGAAACTCCCTGACTTTCTCCATTATCCAGCGGATATTGGCAATCTGGTCTCTCGTTCCTCTGCCTTTTCTAAACCCAGCTTGAACATCTGGCAACTCTCGCTCCATGTATTGCTGGAGTCTTCCTTGCAGGATCTTGAGCATTACCTTACTGGCATGAGAAATAAGGGCCACTGTACGGAAGTTTGAGCAGTCTTTCGCATTTCCCTTTTTTGGTATGGGGATATAAGTTGATTTTTTTCCAGTCTGATGGCCATTCTTGTGTTTTCCATATTTGCTGGCATATGGCATGCATCACCTTGACAGCATCATCTTTTAAGATTTTAAACAGTTCAGCTGGGATCCCGTCGTCTCCTGCTGCCTTGTTGTTAGCAATGCTTCTTAAGGCCCATTCAACCTCACTCCTCAGGATGTCTGGATCTAATTCATTCACCACACCGTCAAAACTATCCTCAATATTATTATCCTTCCTATACAGATCTTCTGTATAGTCTCGCCACCTTCTCTTGATCTCTTCAGCTTCTGTTAGGTCCCTGCCATCTTTGTTTCTTATCATACCAATTTTTGCCTGAAATTTACCTCCAATGTTTCTAATTTTCTGGAAGAGGTCTCTTGTCCTTCCTATTCTGTTGTCTTCTTCCACTTCCATGCATTGCTTGTTTAAAATAGTTCCTTATCTCTTCTGGCTAACCTCTGGAATTGCGCATTTAACTGGGCATATCTCCCCTTATCCTGTTTCCTTTTGCTTTCCTCCTGTCTTGGGCTACTTCCAGTGTCTCAGCAGACAACCATTTTGCCTTCTTGGTTTTCTTTTTCTTTGGACGTACTTTGTTGCCGCCTCCTGAACAATGTCGCGGACTTCTGTCCATAGTTCTTCTGGGACTCTGTTTACTAAATCTAGTCCTTCAAATCTGTTCTTCACTTCCACTGTATATTCACTAGGAATGTTAGTGAGATCATATCTAACTGGTCTGTGTATTTTCCCTGATCTCTTTAGTTTTATTCTAAATTTGGCAATAAGAAGTTCGTGATCTGAGCTACAGTCAGCCCCAGGTCTTGTTTTCACCGACTGGATGGATGTCCGCCACCTTTGGCTGCAAAGGATGTAGTCAATCTGATTTCGGTGTTGACCATCTGGTGAGGTCCATGTATAAAGCCGTCTTTTAGGTTGTTGGAAGAGAGTATTCGTTATACACAGCGAGTTTTCCTGGCAAAATTCTATCAGCCTGCGTCCCGCTTCATTTTGTTCTCCCAGACCATGCTTGCCTGTGATCCCTGTTGTCATTTGACTTCCCACCTTGGCATTCCAGTCTCCTGTAATGAAAATAATGTCTCTTTTTGGTGTATTATCCAGTAGGTCCTGCAGATCCTCATAGAACTGATCTACTTCTGCTTCTTCAGCAGCTGTGGTTGGGGCGTATATTTGGATCACTGTAATGTTGAAAGGCTTTCCTTGCACTCGAATTGAGATCATTCTGTCATTTTTTGGGTTGTATCCAAGCACCGCTTTAGCGAATTTCTTATTAATTATGAAGGCTACTCCATTTCTTCGATGTTCCTCTTGTCCGCAGTAGTAGATCTGGTGGTCATCTGATGTGAAGTGGCCCATTCCAGTCCATTTCAGTTCGCTGACCCCCAGAATGTCTATCTTTAGTCTTGACATCTCACCAATAACAACATCTAATTTGCCCTGGCTCATAGATCTTACATTCCAGGTTCCTATGGTGTGTTGATCTTTAGAGCATCGGATTCGTCGTTCACCTCCAGTACCGTCGGCCGCTAGCCTTCCTTTCGGCTTTGAGCTAGCTGCGTCATCCCATCTGGGGCTAGTTGAACTTATCCTCTGCTCCTCCCCAGTAGCATTTTGGCCATCTTCCGACCTGGGAGTCCCATCTTCCAATGTCATACCGACATATCTCTGGTTGTACTGGTCCATTTAGTTTTCTTGGCAAGGATACTGGAGTGGTTTGCCATTGCCTTCCCCAGGGATCACGCTTGGTCTGACCTCTCTGCCACAACCGTCCCGTCTTGGGTGGCCCTTCACGGTTTCGCTCATGACATCATTGAGGTGCTCAAGCTCCAGCGCCCCGACAAGGCGGTGATCCTTTGCTGGAGTTACTGATATTGTACTATGCTAATAATATAATTTCAATGTATTGTCGAAGGCTTTCATGGCTGGAATTGTCCTAATTCCAACAGACCTCACTACCTCTGAGGATGCTTGCCATAGATGCAGGCGAAACGTCAGGAGAAATGCCTCTAGAACATGGCTCTATAGCCCGAAAAAACCCACAAGAACCTAATATAATATCAGTATTATATATTACTATATTGTACTATAGGAGCCCCCGGTGGCGCAGTGGGTTAAAGCACTGAGCTGCTGAGCTTGTTGATCGAAAGGTCGCAGGTTCGATTCCGGGGAGCGGTGTGAGCTTCCACTGTCAGCCCTAGCTTCTACCAACCTAGCAGTTGGAAAACATGCAAATGTGAGTAGATCAATAGGTACTGCTCTGGCGGGAAGGTAACGGCGCTCCATGCAGTCATGCCAGCCACATGACCTTGGAGGTGTCTACGGACAACGCTGGCTCTTTGGCTTAGAAATGGAGATGAGCACCACACCCCAGAGTCAGACATGACTGGACTTAATGTCAGGGGGACTACCTTTACTTTTACCTAATAATATAATATCAGTATTATATATTACTATATTGTACTATACCATTATATTGTAATATTACATGTAATATAAAATATATAATTATATAATTAATATATAATACTGATATTGTACTATGCTAATAATATAATAGGGAGCCCCCAGTGGTGCAGTGGGTTAAAGCACTGAGCTGCTGAGCTTGTTGATCGAAAGGTCGCAGGTTTGATTCCGGGGAGCGGTGTGAGCTTCCGCTGTCAGCCCTAGCTTCTACCAACCTAGCAGTTCGAAAACATACAAATGTGAGTAGATCAATACGTACCGCTCCGGCCACATGACCTTGGAGGTGTCTACGGACAACGCTGGCTCTTCGGCTTAGAAATGGAGATGAGCACCACACCCCAGAGTCAGACATGACTGGACTTAATGTCAGGGGACTACCTTTACCTTTACTAATAATATAATATATTGTATGTGTGTGTGTATGTATATATATATATATATATATATATATACACACACACACACACACACACACATCCTATATTATTTATTTATTTACGACATTTATATGCCGCCCTTCTCATCCCGAAGGGGACTCAGAGCGGCTTTATATATTTATTTATTTACAGCTTTTATATTCCGCCCTTCTCACCCCGCAGGGGACTCAGTGCGGATTACAGTGTACACATATATGGCAAACATTCAATGCCAATTTTTGACATACAAACATATACAGACATACACAGAGGCTATATAACTTCTTCTGGCCGCCAGGGAGCTGTCGCTTTCATCGTCCATCTGCGACGCTGATGAAGTACTTCCGCATTCCCTGCATGCTTCCCCGCTGGAATGCTTTGCTGGAGTCTTCTTTATGGCCTCATAAATCCGTTAATTTAGCCTCCCCACGCTTTAAGGTGGTACCTAATTTTCCTACTTGACAGATGCAACTGTCTTTCGGGTTGCAAAGGTCGACAACAGGCTACACACAATTGGTTGGAAACCCACTCCAACCCGGGCTGGCTTCGAACTCGTAACACTCAGCCAGCTGCGCCACAATCCCACACCACAATATATAAAATAAGCCGCTCTGAGTCCCCTTCGGGGTGAGAAGGCGGCATATAAACGTCGTAAATAAATAAATAATATAGGGTCGCCATACACAGGGGAAATAGTCCTTATATACTAGGTTAGGGACCCAGCGGTGCTCGGGTTATTAGAAGAAGCATTGTTCATTTTGGGATGTCAGGTAATAATCACTTAAGTTTGGTCCGGATCCATCGTTGGCTGCGTTCAGTGCTCTCTGGGTAAAGGCGAACTACAACTCCCAGATTCCCAGGACAGTCACTCCCAAACCCTGACAGTATTCGCAGTTGGCCATGTTGGGTCTGTGTGCCAAGTTTGGTCCAGATCCATCGTCGGCTGGGTCCAGGGCTCTATGGATAAGGGTGAACTACAACTCCCAGATCCGAGGTCAATCACCCCGAAACTAGGTCTGTATGCACAGTTTGCCATGTTGGGTCTGTGCACCAAGTTTGGTCCAGATCTGATGTCGGCTGGGTTCAGGGCTTTCTGGCTGTAGGTGAACTAAAAGGTAAAGGTAGTCCCCTGACATTAAGTCCAGTCATGTCTGACTCTGGGGTGTGGTGCTCATCTCCATTTCTAAGCCGAAGAGCCAGCGTTGTCCGTAGACACCTCCAAGGTCATGTGGCCGGCATGACTGCATGGAGCACCGTTACCTTCCCGCCGGAGCGGTACCTATTGATCTACTCACATTTGCATGTTTTCGAACTTCTAGGTTGGCAGAAGCTAAGGCTGACAGCGGAAGCTCACAACGCTCCCCGGAATCGAACCTGCGACCTTTCGATCAACAAGCTCAGCAGCTCAGTGCTTTAAACCACTGCGCCACCGGGGGCTCAATTTTGGGAGTTGTAGGTGAACTACAACTCCCAAAATCAAGGTCAATTCCTAGTAACCCCTGCCGTATGTTCAGTTCGTCATGGGGCTTCTCTGTACCAAGTTTGGTCCCAGTCCATTGTCAGTGGGGGTCACAGTATCGCTGGATGTAAGGGAACTATAACTCCCATCAACTTCAATTTCCTCCAGACGTCTTGTTGGTCATGGGGGTTTGTGTGCCAAGTTTGGTCCAGGACCGTCATTTGTGGAGGTCGCAGTGGTCTCTGGAAGCAAGTAAAGGTACTGCAAGTTCCATCATCCCTAGCAAGTTTGGTCCAAATGCATCGTTGGTTGTGTTAACAGTTCTCTGGATGTAGGTGAACTACAACTCCTATAAATCGTGGTGATTTCTCCCCAAACCTCTTGTTCAGTTGCTGATCAATTCCTTTGTTTGCTGTGTGCCATAGGAAAGGGTAGGAAAGAGTTAAGGGAATAGCAGTGGAAGGGGTTATGCAAATTCCATACCAATGGAGAGAGAAAGGAAACCTGGGGTCTCCATTCTGGAGGAACAAAAGAACATCTAGGATCCTGCACTTGGGTGGAGGGCAGTATGGTGTTTCTGGGGGACACTGGCAGAGTTTAGGCTACATATCCATGGTACCCGCTATAACCTGAAATGTCCTTGTAGGAAGGGCCATGGGTGTCTCCTGCTCAGTGGGAACTTTAGCTGTTTGTGGAGGCAGGAGGCTGTCTGTGTAAGTGGACACCTCCACCACATACACACATACATACAGTACATATACAAGTTAATATAGAAGATACACACACACACACACACAAACTTGGGTACACGATGTTGCCCAGGTAATTTTTAAAAGTCAATTTTAATAGTACATTTTAATAGTTGTGGGTGAACTACAACTCACATCATTAACCCTGAAAAACTCAGAACTGAAAGTTTGTTATGTTGAGTAAGCTTACTCTAGAGATGCATCATTGGTGGGATTCAATGTGCTCTCTGGCTGTAGGGTAAACAACAACTCTCACTATGGTGAGTCAGTCCTCTCAAACCCCTCCAGTAGGTTGAGTTAGTCATGTGTGCCAAGTTTGGTCTAAGTCCATCATCAGTGAAGGTCACAGTTTCTCTGGTTATGGCTGAACTACAACTCCCAGAAAGGTAGGTCAGTTCCCCCCAAACCCCTCCAGTAATCAAATTTTGGCATATCAGATAAGTGTACCAAGTTTGGTCTAGATCCATTGGTGCTTGAGTTCTCGGTGATCAGTGAACAACAACTCCCCCAAATCAAGGTGAATTCCCCCCCCCCCAAAGACCTCCAGTATTTTTCCCCCAGACCCTCTGATGGATTGCACTCCAAGGATGAAAAATTGATATGTGTGGTCAAACAGCCTCAGATTATGCTCAAGTTATACACGAGGAAATAAAGACCCCACTGCTCACTGGAGGGAAGGATAGCAGAGGCAAAGATGAAGTACTTTGGCCACATCATGAGAAGAAAGGAAAGCTAAGAGAAGACAATTATGCTGGGAAAAATGGAAGGAAAAAGGAAGAGGGGACGACCAAGGGCAAGATGGATGGATGGTATCCTAGAAGTGACTGGCTTGACTCTGAAGGAGCTGGGGGAGGTGACAGTTGATAGGGCGCTCTGGCGTGGGATGGTCCATGAGGTCACAAAGAGTCAGAAACAACTGAATGAATGAACAACAACAACATATATGTGTGTGTATGTATATAAATACACACACACACACATATACATATAGTCTGTCTATCTATACATGCTATATATTTATCTATTCCTACTGGCTGTTAGGAATTGTGGGAGTTGAAATCCAAAACACCTGGAGGGCCAAAGTTTGCCCATGCCTGCTCTAGAGGGCTACCATGGAGACCTAAATCAGGTTTCCATAGTTCCTGAGGGACAGAGAAAGTACTGCTTTGTGTTATACAGGTATCTCTTCTGTCTCTCCTTGTCTTCCCCCCTTCCCTTCTTTGTTTTTCTTTCCTTCCTTCCCTCCCTTCATACCTTCTCTCCTTTCCTTTCTCTTGCTTCCCTTTTCTTTCTTTTTTTTCCTCCCTCCCTCCCTTCTTTTTCTCTTTCTTTCCTTCCTTCCTTCTTGCTGGATTGGAACAAAAGTATATATTGTGCATCATCCATGATTGGTCAAATGTATGTCCGAAGCAGCTTCGGACCCAGAGACTCCATGTATTTGTACTTTATTTATCCAAGGATTTTAGCCTTCTCTAATTAAGACTGCCAAACTACAACTCACAGGACTCCAGGGCAGTTTGAGTGGTAATTCTACAGGCACTTTTAGCATTGAGCAAGTGGTAATTCTAGCACAGAATTGAGCAAGTGGTAATTCTACAGGGAAGATGCCCCTCAATTCAAACTACAACTCCAAGGATCCTGCAGCATTGAGCTAGGGCAGTTGCAATGCACATTCTACAGGGAAGAGGCACCTCCAGTCAAACTACAGCTCCCAGGATCCCATAACATTGAGCAAGTTATAATTCTACAGGGCGGAGCACCTCCATTCAAACTACAACTCCCATGATACCATAGCATTGAGTCAGGGGCAGTTCCAGTGGTAATGCTATGGGGCAGAGGCACATTTAGTTGAACTACATCTCCCAGGATCACACAGCATTGAGCAATTGGCAATTCTATGGAGCAGAGGCACCTCTGGTCAAACTACATATCCCCGGATCCCATAACATTGAGCCAGGGCAGTTCAAGTGGTAATTCTACAGGGCAAAGGCACGTCTGATCAAACTACAACTCCCAGGATCCCATAGCATTGAGCAAGTGGTAATTCTATGGGAAAGAAGCACCTCCAGTCAAACTAAAACTTTCATGATCCCATAGCATTAAGCAAGTGGTGATTCTACAGGACAGATGGACCCCCAATCAAACTGCACCTCTCGGGATCCCATAGCACTGAGCAAGTGATAATTCCATGGGGAAGATGCCCCTCCAGTCAAACTACAACTCCCAGGATCGCACAGCATTGAACAAGTGGTAATTCTACGGGGCAGAGGCACCTCCAGTCAAACTATAACTCCCAGGATCCCATAGCATTGAGCAAGTGGTAATTCTATGGGGAAGAGGCACTTCCGGTCAAATGATAACTCCTGTGATCCCGTAGCCTTGAGCCAGGGCAGTTTGATTCGGCCCCTGTTCCTCACACCAATGTGGAGTCCTTCCCGGAGCTGGCCGGTTTGCGAGCGAGGGCATTCTTCATTTCCTGCGCCACACTGTTCCAGGGCTTGCCCTGCACCGCCAGGAGGGCCGAGTCAGCCGAGAGGGTCCGGTGCATCCGGGGTGCAGCATAGCAGTCCTCCTCGGAGGCCGGGCCAAGGCCACTGGATGAGGGGGCCTTGCCACCACTGCAGGTTGAGCCAGTCAAGCACATCTCCCTGGCATTGTTGAGGTGGGCGGCGGGCAGAGGCAAATCGAGGCCAGCAGAGCCATTTTCGTACAAAGCATGCGGCAGGTGGATGTGCCGGGAAGCCCGGGAGGCCCGGATCAGGACGTGGGTGACAGTGAGGATGAGGACCACAACACCCGAGGATAAGATGCAGGCCCCGGCGACACCTGTCTCCAGCTCAAACAGCACCAGCATGTACATGGAGAGTGCTGCAAATGGGCAGGAAAGAGAAAAAGACAGCAGTTGCATTTGTAAACCCATTAAAAAAGCATGCGTTCTCCAGTGCGACTCTATAATATCATAGGGACAATCTTTGCTTTGTAAACTTTTATTATTGGGATTAAAGACCCTGGGTATCTATGGGATAGTAGTCTTGTCAGTGTGTTTGACTGTACCCTAGCTTTAATTGCGCATGATAACCAAATAAACTCACTTAACAGAGATCTCTTGTCTCTAGTGACTATTTGGGACTTGGATACTAGAGATCCTTATCAATTGTCTGGCAGATGGGAAACAGATCTGGGTCATTTCATCAGGAAACTGCTCACCAATGGCAGAAGGCATATTGATCCAGGTAAGAAGGCAAATTGTATGAGTCATAATTGGATTAGAACAAGACAGTAGGAGAACGGGTTCCAATGAGCCCACTTACCTGCCAGGTAGACGGAGACCGCGCAGCAGAAGAGACCCACGGCGACATGACGGACTTTCCGGCTGTCCAGAAGAAACCGGTCACTGCTGTATCCCCCAAAATAGAGAGAACAAAAGACTTTTATTGCCCAGATCGATACCATCGCAAATGCAGTTGGTAGGGACGAGAGACAGGGTCTTCTCGGCAGTGGCCCCCCAGCTGTGGAACTCTCCCCCCAGGGACATCAGGCTGGCCACCTCCCTCCTGTCCTTTAGAAGAAAATTGAAGACTTGGCTTTGGGACCAGGCGTTCAATTAGTGGACAGCAGCAACTGGAAAGAAGACTTAGGATACCGCGACATTGAATTAACCCAGACTTGGATTTGGTTTTAACTGGCGTGTTTAATCTATTGTTTTAATGAATTGCTTTTAATGTTTTAATGTATTTGTTGACTATTTATATGATGATAGCATCGTACGGTGCTTGTGTGAGGCCGTCCTGAGTCCCCCCTCGGGGGGAGAAGGGCAGGGTAAAAGTGCATGAAATAAATAATAAATAAATACACTCTTGGGATGCTCATTATTATTATTTGTAATAATTATTTTCCTGCAAAAGTGCCACTCTCTCAGCCACTTGTGCTTCTAAACCCACAGATTCACATTCCAAAAAATATTTTACCTATTATTTTAATTGTAAGGAGAGACGGGTAACAAATATAATATTATTAATAGTCAGTATTAATAATATTAATTGCTATTAGTAGTAACTAGTACTAGTAGTAACTACTACTAGTAATTACTAGTAGTAGTCACTAATAATAATGACTATTAGTAGTTACTGCTATGATTAATTACTATTCGTAGTAATTACAATTAATAGTAGTTACTATTTATTAATTCGGAAACTTCTATATCATCTTTTTCCAAGGACCCAAGGCGGTTTACAACAGTGGTTTTAATTCTAAGGAGAGACAGGTAACAATATATATTATTAATAATACTCAATATTAATAATATTATTTACTATTAGTAGTAACTACTATTAGTAGTAACTACTACTGGTAATTACTAATAAAATAAGTTTGTTTATTTATTAGGAAAATTCTATATCGTCTTTCTCCAAGGACCCAAGGCAGTTTGCAACAATAGCTAAACATGAAATATAAAATTTAAGCCATTAAGATAATCTCATATGTTCCCGTTGAACATAAAATTGTCATAAAAGGATAATTACTATTAGTACTAATAATAGTAATTGTCCTTTTACGACAATTTTATGTTCAACGAGAACGTATGGGATTATTTCAATGGCTTAAATTGTATATTGCATGTTTGGCTGTTGTAAGTTTTAATAGTAGCTATTACTATTAGTATTTACTATTAGTAGCAGCTGCTATTAGTAGTAATTACTATTATTAGTAATTGGTATTAATATTATAATTAATCCCATGCATTCCTGTTGAACATAAAATTTTAATTGAAGGGACAATTACTACTAATAGTAATTACTAATAGTTACTACTAATAGAATTTACTATTAGTTGTAGCTGCTATTCATAGTAATTACTATTATAAATTACAAGTAGTAATTATTATTAGTCGTAATTGATATTCATATTATTCATAATTAATATTAATATAAACAACAGCAATATTATGATCATTGTTGTTATTATTCTTATTATTTGGTTTCTACCCCAACCAGCATACAGATGGAGCCCCCGGTGGCGCAGTGGGTTAAACCCATGTGCCGGCAGGACTGAAGACCGACAGGTCACAGGTTCAAATCCGGGGAAAGGCGGATGAGCTCCCTCTATCAGCTCCAGCTCCTCATACAGGGACATGAGAGAAGCCTCCCACAAGGATGATAAAACATCAAATCATCCGGGCGTCCCCTGGGCAATGTCCTTGCAGACGACCAATTCTCTCACACCAGAAGCGAATTGCAGTTCCTCAAGTCGCTCCTGACACGACAAAAAAAAAAAGCATACAGATCTGACTTAAGCAGCCAAGTTTGAAGAAGTTATTTTATAGGGTTTTCCTCAGAGACTCATCCACTCAATATGGAAGGGATTATGGGTTTTATAGTCCTAGAAGATCACTTTGTTGAGCTTCGAGAGCTCCATCGGCTATGTTTCCATCTTTGAACTCATTTTTTAAAAAGTGCACAAGGGCTTCTGTTTCCAAGATGTTTACCTGAAAATGGGACCTTAAGGTGTTAATGATTATTTTATTTTAACAGTAGCATGGGTACCCGGTGTTGCCTGGGTGGAGGTGGAGATCACAGTTTCCCTGGTTGTGGGTGAACTACAACTCCCAGAAAGAAAAGTCAGTTCTCCCCAAACCCCTCCAGTAATCACATTTCAGCATATCAGATATGGGTGCAAAGTTTGGTCCAGATCCATCATTGTTTGGGTTCATAGTGCGCTCTGGATGTAGGTGAACTACAACTCCTATAAATCCTTCCAAAGACATTCCGTATTTTTTGCTGGTCATGGGGATTCTGTGTGCCAAGTTAGTTCCGGGTCCATCGTTGGTGGAGTTCAGAGTGCTCTTAGATTGCAGGTGAACTGTACATCCCAGGACCTACAACTTCCATAAATCATTGTGAATTCCCCCCAATCTTCTCCAGTATGTTCAGTTGTTGATCAATTCCTCTGTTTGCTGTGTGCCATAGAAAAAAATAGAAAGGGTTATGGGTGAGGCAGTGGACACACTAATTGAGAGAGTAAGAAATCCTGGGATGCCTGTGGTGGAGGAAACACATGACATCTAGGATGAAATTCCCGTATGAAAGCCTTCATTTGAGTGGTGGGCAGTCTTGTATTTGTGGAGGTCTTTGGCAGGGCTTTTGGACATGTTCATGGTGCTCACTATAACCTGCAATGTCATTGGAGGGGAGGGCCATTGGTGTCTCCAGAGTAGAGGGAACTAGAGCTGTTTGTGGAGGCAGGAGCATGTCTATGTAAGTGGACACCCCAGCCACACACACACATACATATTTTCACTTTTATTATGTGTATAGATTTTTGGCATCTTGTTTACAGGCCTTGGCAAGAAGCGGGAGGCCTTGGGAGGGAAACGATTGTGTTGTGCAAAAAGGTTTTGTTTTTAAAAAATGTCTTCCATTGTCCCACAGAATAGAGGGACCTTTGTTCGGTCAATTCATAGGGATGCAAAAAATAAAAAAATTAAAGGGGACACAAACCACTCGGTTGGACTTTGTTGGCCCAGAGCATCGGAGTTGGAAGAAAAGCTGAATCCATAATGCACAATGACAGGAGCAAACATGGGAAAGATGGAGGAGCGGAGGAGCGGTAATGAGCAAAAACGCCCTGGATTTTTGTCCCCCAACGGCTCAGCGAAATGGAATTTGTGGATTATAATATGAATAGACTGAGAGGGAGTAAGCAAAGCTGGCATTTCGTAGTAGCGGGATTTAAAAGGCTGGGCCTCCCCACTCCCATGGATACCCAAACAAATCCATCGATGCTCAAATTCCATTGTGTAAGATGGAAAAGTACCAGGATTTGAGCATGGGCTGGACTACTTTGATGCTCTTTCTTTGGAGGTCTTGGAACAAAGGTTGATGGACATCTTTTCAGAAGGCTTGAATTCTGTCCTCCTGCAAGGCAGAACAGGGGCGGACTAGATGGCCTTTGGGGTCCCTTCTGACTGTGATTTGTTTAATACATTTAAAATACCCCCCCAAAAAACGCATCCACTTCTTCCCCAAAACTGTCCAAACTCAGCCCCAAAAACTCACCCCTTCCATTCCCAAAGCTTACCCATTCCTTCCCCAKATCCCACCCTTTCCACCCCAAATCCCACCCTTTCCATSCCCAAAACACAACCCKCAAAACCCACCCTTTCAGTCTTTAAATCTCACCTTTCCATCGCCAAAACTCATCCCTTCCATCTCCAGAACTCACTCTTTTCATCCCCAAAACTCACCCCAAATCTCACCCACTCCACCCAAAAAGACACTCACTCCACCCCCCAAAACACAACCCAAATCTCACCTATTCCTTCCTCAAATCCCACCCTTTCCATCCTTAAATATTCACCTTTCCCATCTCCAAAACTCACCCAAAACCCATCCACTTCATCCCCAATTGCTCACATTTTCTCTCTTCCAAACACARGCCAAATCTGGCCCTTTCCATCCCTAAAWCTCACCCCAAAATCCACTTATTCCTTCCCCAAATCCCACCCTTCCATCCTCAAATTTCACCCCAAAACTCACKTTTTCCACCCCCAAATCACAACTTTTCRATCTCAAAACTCACCCAAAACTTATCCACTCTGTCCTCAAATCTCAAAAAGTATCACTTCTATTTCCAAATCTCACCTTTTATATCCCCAAAACTTACCCACTCCATCCTCAAATCTCACCCCAAAACTCACCTATTCCTTTCCCATTTTTTCCTTTTCTATCCTCAAAACTCATTCTAAATCCCACCCTTTCCTATCCAAAACGAACCCACTCCATTCTCAAGTCTTACCCCAAAACGCACCCATTTATTTCCCAAATCCCACCCTCTCCATCCTCAAATCTTATTACAAAACTCACCCTTTCCATTCTCAAATCTCACCTTTTCTATCCTCAAAACTTACCTACTCCATCCTCAAATCTCACCCCAAAACTCACCTATTCCAGTCTCAGTCCTCACCTTTTCTTGGTTGTTGTAAGTTTTTCGGACTGTATGGCCATGTTCTAGAGGCATTCTCTCCTGATGTCTCACCTGTATCTATGGCAGGCATCCTCAGAGGTTGTGAGGTCATCCTCAGAGGTTGTGAGGATGCCTGCCATAGATGCAGGTGAAACATCAGGTGAGAATGCCTCTGGAACATGGCCATAGAGCCTGAAAAAATTACAACAACCCAGTGATTCTGGCCATGAAGGCCTTCGACAATACATACACCTTTTCTATCCCCAAATTTCACCCTCTCCATCCCAAAACCCATTCCAAATCTCACCTTTTCTATCCCTGGATCTCAGCTTTTCTATCCCCAAAACATACCCACTCAACCCCAAATCTCTTCCATTCCATCCCCAAATCTCACCTTTTCTATCTCCAAAATTCACCCAAAACTTATCCACTCCACTCTCAGATCTCACCCCAAAACACACACATTCCTTTCTCAAACTTTGCCATTTCCATCGCCAAATCTCACTTTTTCTATCCCCAAAACTCACTCCAAATCCCATCTTTTCTCTCCCCAAAATTTACCCAAAGTGTACCCACTCCATCCCCAGATCTCATTCCGAAACTCACCTATTCCTTTCCCAAATCCCACCCTTTCCATCCCCAGATCTCACCCCCAAACTCACCTATTCCTTTCCCAAATCTCACCTTTTCTATCCTCAAATCTCATCCTCTCCATCTCAAAAACACAATCCAAATTTCACCTTTTCTATCCTGAAATCTCACTCAAAATGTACCCACCCTACCCCCAAATCTCATCCTTTCCATCCTCAAATCTCACCCTTTCTATCTCCAAAACTCACTCAAAACTTACTATTTTCCATCCCTGAATCTCACCTTTTCTATCCCCAAATCCCACCTTTTTCATTCCCAGATCTCACTCCCAAACTCACTTCTTCCTTTCCCAAATCTCACATTTTCTATCCTCAAATCTCACTCAAAATGTTCCCACTCCACCCCAAATCTCATCCTTTCCATCCTCAAATCTCACCTTTTCTATCTCCAAAACTCACTCAAAACTTACCCACTCCACCCCCAGATTCCACTCCTATATTCACCTCTTCCTTTCCCAAACTTCACCTTTTCCATCTTACATTTCACCCCAAAAGGCACCCTTTTCCATCCTCGAATCTCACCTTTTCTGTCCTCAGATCCCACCCTTTCCATCCCCAGATCTCACCCCAAACTCACCTCTTCCTTTCCCAAATCTCARCTTTTCTATCCTCAAATCTCATCCTATCCATCCCCAAAAGGCAATCCAAATCTCATCTTTTCCATCCTCAAATCACACCTTTTCTATCTCCAAAACTCATTCAAAACTTACCCAATCCACCCCCAGATCTCACTCCTATACTACTTCTTTCCCCAAACCTCACCCTTTCCACCCTCAAACTTCACCCCAAACGACACCCTTTTCCACCCCTGAATCTCACCCTTTCTATCCCTAAATCCCACCCTTTCCATTCCCAGATCTCATCCCCAAATTCACCTCTTCCTTTCCCAAATCTCACCTTTTCTATCCTCAAATCTCACTCAAAATGTACKCACTCCACCTCCAAATCTCATCCTTTCCATCCTCAAATCTCACCTTTTCTATTTCCAAAACTCACTCAAAACTTACCCACTCCATTCCCAGATCTCACTCCTATATTCACCTCTTCCTTTCCCAAACCTCACCATCCTACATTTCACCCCAAAAGGCACCCTTTTCCATCCCTGAATCTCACCTTTTCTGTCCTCAAATCCCACCCTTTCCGTCCCCAGATCTCACCCCCAAACTCACCTCTTCCTTTTCCCAAATCTCATCTTTTCCATCCTCAACTCTCACCTTTTCTGTCCTCAAATCCCACCCTTTCCATCCCCAGATCTCACCCCAAACTCACCTATTCCTTTCTCAAATCTCATCTTTTCCATCCTCAAATCTCACTCAAAATGTACCCACTCCACCTCCAAATCTCATCCTTTCCATCCTCAAATCTCACCATTTCTGTTTCCAAAACTCACTCAAAACTTATCCACTCCATCCCCAAATCTCACTTCTATACCCACCTCTTCCTTTCCCAAACTTCACCTTTTCCATCCTCAAACTTCAACCCAAAAGGCAGCCTTTTCCATCTCGGAATCTCGCCTTTTCTGTCCTGAAATCCCACCCACTCCATCCCCAGATCTCACCCCCAAGCTCAGCTTTTCCATCCCTGCATCTCACCGTTTTGTATCCCGAGCCCTGCCCATTTCCACCCCGAGAGGGAGATCGCTCCGTCTTTCCCTGGCTCACCTGTGGGGCCCCGGGTGGGGTTCTGGCTGGGGGGCGCATCGCTCTGCGGCGCAGTAGGAGTGGAGGAGGGCGAGGAGGAGGCAGGCCAGGCTGAGGGCGAGGCAGAGCGCGGCGCCCACGGCCGAGAGCGAGAGCAGCGCCCGGCGGGAGGCTTCGGGGAGGGCAAGGGAGGCGGGCGAGGGGCCCGGAGGGAGGACCCCGGCCCGCGCCTGGAAGAGCAGCAGCGAGCCCAGCACCGAGACCAGCCCCGAGCCCGTGCCCAGCAGGCTCAGCGCGCCCAGGGCCCGGGGGGCGTACTGCGAGGAGGAGGAGGAGGACGAGGCCATGGCCGGACCGGGCAGGGAGGGAGGCTGGGGATGGAATGGGGAGGGAGGGGCCAAGGGGGCACAACCCCTCCCACACCCCCCCTTCTTCATCACCTTCAGCCTTGCCCACTAGTCATTGGACTTGCTCCTTTCCTACTCGCCATCCTTGACCATTCATTCAAAAGGGCCAATAATGAAAGGACCCAGGCAGTGGCATCTCCGGCCCATCCCTTGTTCGGATATCAGCCAGCAAGCCAATGCCTTAAATCAAGAAACAGTTTCCTAAGATCATTCTAAACACCTCAGCAAGCGAGAGTCCAAAAGTGGCAGGCTAAAAGCCAGCACCTCAATCCATGGCTGATACCAAATGAGGGTTCCTCCTGGGCACACAGAATACTGGGCAATAGGATTGTTTGATCAAAAAAAAAGTTCGAAACTTATTTTGGATGTAGGAGGTGCTGGTGGCTCAATTCCAAAGTCAGGCCCGTAGCCAGGATTTTGTTGTTTTTTTTTTTGGGGGGGGGGCTGAGTTTGGTTCGGGGGGGGGGGGCTGAGTCTGAGTGAAAGAGGGTCTACCCTAGCAAACCTTTTGTATCGTTACCCAATACCCCCATGCATATGGGATATATTGAGCATGGTGATCAGATCATGATATGAATAAACATAACAGTTTAAATAATGTACCAGTAAGGCCTTCTCGCGGACCACCATCAGAATTTCAGGGGGGGGGGGCTGAAGCCCCCCAAGCCGCCCCCCCCCCCGCTACATGCCTGCAAAGTCAATTCCGATTTTAACAGAAAAGAAGTTCAAAACTTTTCAAAACTCCCGAGACTTCCGAATCCTTCCTTAATGGTTTGAAAGTGTTATTTCCTGTTATTTCCTGTTTCATTGGGCGGTCTTTACTTTGAAAGTAGTTGTTTTACTCCAGAAGCGGGGGGGAGAGGGAAGCAAAAGGAGGAAATTCATCCACTCTGGTTTAAAACGCTCCCGAGACAGAAGCGAGGGGAGAGGAGAGGGAGGAAATTCATCCACTCTGGTTTAAAACGCTTCCCAGGCTTGAGACAGAAGCAAGGGGAGAGGAGAGGGAGAAAATTCATCCACTCTGGTTTAAAACGCTTCCCAGGCTTGAGACAGAAGCGAGGAGAGAGGAAAGGGAGGATATTCATCCACTCTGGCTTAAAACAGCTTCTCTGGCTTGAGACAGAAGCGTGGAGAGGGGGAAAGGGAGGAAATTCATCCACTCTGGTTTAAAACCACTTCTCTGGCTTGAGACAGAATTAGGGAGGAGGGGAAAGGGAGGAAATTCATCCACTCTGGTTTAAAACGGCTTCCCAGGCTTGAGACAGAAGCAGGGGGAGGCGGGGGGAGAGGAAAGGGAGGAAATTCATCCACACTGGTTTAAAACAGCTTCTCAGGCTTGAGACAGAAGCAGGGGGAGAGGAAAGGGAGGAAATTCATCCACTCTGGTTTAAAACGGCTTCTCTGGCTTGAGCTGAGGCCAGGGACCAGAAGCGGGGAAAAGTTAAATAATTTCTGACTCAGTTACAGCTTAGTTACAGAAATGGCGGGAAAAGCTTTGGAAGGGCAAAGGGACTTCTGATTTCCTTCAAAATTTCAAAATCGCTTCAAAAAGCAAATCTTTCCAAATTTATTCCGAATTACGAAGATTCCGACTGAACATTAGGAAGAACTTCCTGACTGTGAGAGCTGTTCAGCAGTGGAACTCTCTGCCCTGGAGTGTGGTGGAGGCTCCTTCTTTGGAGGCTTTTAAACAGAGGCTGGATGGCCATCTGTCGGGGGTGCTTTGAATGTGATTTTCCTGCTTCTCGGCAGGGGGTGGGACTGGATGGCCCACCCCCTGCCAGCCTCTATGATTCTATGATTCTATTATTACATCCTGTGATAAATAGAAGTGGAGCAGGGGAAATCTTTAATGAACACCCCTCATAGGATGTTCTTCTTAACGGGTTGCTGTGAGTTTTCTGGGCTGTATGGCCATGTTCCAGAAGCATTCTCTCCTGACATTTCACCTGTGTCTATTGCAGGCATCCTTAGAGGTTGTGAGGTCTGTTGGAAACTAGGAAACTGGGTTGTATATCTGTGGAATGTCTAGGGTGTCTGTTTGAGGTAGCTGTGAATTTTTTGATTAGCCACCTTGATTAGCATTTAATGGCCAAGCAATTTCAAGGTCTGGCTTCTTACTGCCTGGGGGAATCCTTTGTTGGGAGGTCATTAGCTGGGCCTGATCGTTTCTTGTCTGGAATTACCCTGTTATTTATGGATGCCTGACATAAATGCAGGCAAAACATCAGGAGAGAATGCTTCTGGAACATGGCTGTACAGCCCAGAAAACACACAACAACCCAGGGATTCTGGCCATGAAAGCAACAAAACAATACAGCAACAAAAAAGCCCACCACATGGTTCAGATATTTACTTACTTACTTACTGTATTTGTATACTGCCTTTCTCAGCCCATAGATGACTCAAGGCGGTTAACAGGGCAAAATTCAATGCTTACAATGTCATGAATACAATTAAAAACATAACATATAATAAAAACTGAGTATGTGGATGACACCATCAACATTTGGAGAAGAAGAACTCAAAAAGTTCCTGGACCACCTCAACAGCAGCCACTCAAACATCCAATTCACCACGGAAAACTGCAATTTATAGATGTCCTGGTCATCCACAAACCCAATCAACAATTGGGCCACACAGTTTATAGAAAACGTACACACACAGATAGATAGATACCTACTTAAAAACTCCAACCATCACCCAAATCAAAAAAGAAGCACAGTTCAAGTCCTGAACGAATCTGTGGAGCCCTCCTTCTCCAAGGTGAACTGAGCCACCTCAACTGGGCTCTACAGTTAAAACACATACACATTGTGGCCTACCATTACTCCTCACTCAAAGGCTAAAGAGAGTTGGACAAACACAACAAGTACCAAGCAGTGAGAGGACAATAATCTCAAATAAACAGCTGTGGGGAATGTTTTATGGGCTTAGATGTCTCCAATGCACAGAAAATGGGAAATAAATGAGATGAACTCAAACTCTTAGCACAGCAAAACAGTTACGATACCTGGTAGGAAGAGTCTTATAATAGAAGAGTGAGTCCTCTTGGGGAGAAAGGGCTGGTTATAAATAAAGTTTTATTATTATTATTATTATTATTATTATTATTATTATTATTATTATTATTACCTATTTCAGATAAATAGTTCAAATAAGAAATAAGGTGGAGTAGCATTCTTTACACCTGTAAAGAGATGTAGGACTTCAATCCGGACAGTCAGGTTGAGAGCGTCTGGATATTGCTGTATGATTCTATGAACTTGGCGAAAAGTTTTGAAAGTTGAGATTTCAATGGTGTTGTAGTTTCAGGGGTTGACTACAAGGTGGCAGCGTGTGCTTGGATTATTTCTGGTCTTCTTTTTTTGCATTAAATCCTGGATCCCTTTCTTACAAGCATAGGAATCCTCAGATATTATTATTATTATTATTATTATTATTATTATTATTATTATTATTATTATATTGAGAATATAATTATGGTTAATAATATATTATTATTCAGCAATTTTATTTCTTGTCTTTATTTTTGCATTCAATCCTGGATGCCCTTCTTACAAGCAATGAAATACTCAGATATTGTTGTTGTTGTTGTTTAGAATATTGAATATTCGAATTTGTCATAATCACAAATCAGCAGCAATGAATTAATAATGACACTAATATTAATAATCTATTATCTATTAACATAATAAAAGTGAAAATATGTATGTGTGTATATGTCTGGGATGCCCACTTACACAGACACGCTCCCACCTCCACAAACAGCTATAGCTCGCACAAACAGAAGACACCAATGGCTTTCCCTCCAATGACATTGCAGGTTATAGTGAGCGCAGTGAACTTGTCCAAGAGCCCTGCCAATGTGTTTCCTCCACCACAGGCATCTCAGTGTTTCTGTCTCTCTCCATTGATGTGGAATTTGCATGACCCCATCCACTGCCTCTCCCTTAACCCTTTCCTATTCTTTTCTATGACACACATTAAACAGGAATTGATCAGCAACTGAACATACTAGAGAGGTTTGGGGAGAATTCAACATGATTTATAGGAGTTGTAGGTCCTGGAATGTATAGTTGACCTGCAATCAGTGAGTACTCTGAACTCCACCAATGATGGCCCTAGAACTAACTTGGCACACAGAACCCCCATGACCAACAAAATATACTGGAGGTCTTTGGAGGGATTTAGAGCTGTAGTTCACCTATGTCCAGAGTGCACTATGAACCCAAACAATGATGGATCTGGAACAAACTTGGCATGCATACCCGATATGTCCAAATTTGAATACTGATGACTTTTGAGGGGAATTGGCCTGGGCATTTTGGATTTGTAGGTACTGGGATTTATAGTTCATCTGCAATCAATGATCACTCTGAACTCCACCAAAGATGGAATTGGACTAAACTTGGCACACAGAGCCCTCATGACCAGCAAAAAATATTGGAGGTCTTTGGGGAAATTCACCTTGATTTGTGGGAGAACTACAGTTCATCTACATCCAGAGAGCACTGTGAATCCAAATACCAATTGACCTGGACCAAACTTGGCACGCATACCTGATTTGCCAAAATTTGATTAATGGAGGGGTTTTTTTTTTGGGGGGGGGGTGACCTTCCTTTCTGGGAGCTGTAGTTCACCCACAACCAGAGAAACTGTGACTTCCACCGATGATGGACCTGAACCAAACTTGGCACACAGAACTCCCATGACTAACTCAACCTGCTGCAGGGGTTTGAGGGGACAGACTCACCATAGTGGGAGTTGTAGTTCACCCTACAGCCAGAGAGCACACTGAACACCACCCATGATGCATCTAGAGCAGTGGTTCTCAACTTGTGAGTCCCCAGATGTTTTGGCCTTCAATTTCCAGAAACTGGCTGGGATTTCTGGGAGTTGTAGGCCAAAACACCTGCCGACCCACAGGTCAACAACCACTGACCTAGAGCAAACTTGCCCAACAGAAGTAAGAAAC